GAAAATCTCGCTGCAGTTTACCAAAATAAAAAAATTCTTAAATGTTTTAATTAAAAAAATTTCACATTTATCTCTTATTGTAACTCATCATGCTACCTTTTGAAAATGGTATCGAAATTAAACAAAAGAAAGAAGCAAAGTCTGTTATTATATCAGAAAATTAATGAAAATTTAATTTCTTCCGTGTGGGAGGATTAATTAATAAAAGGAATTTGCTAATTTTTAATTAATGTTTTTCAGAAACAAAACAGATAAAGTAAATATTAGAAAGGAAACCTTTTATGCCTAATTAAAGAACAAATTCTGCATTGTACGTACGTGCATTCATAATTTAAGTATGTTTTAAAAAATACAAATTATCTTTTAGAAAATGGTGCCTCTATTTCTGATTTTTCTAGCGGCATTCAGGCCAATGTATACTGTACATTGAATTCCTAATAGAAAGAACTCTGTCAAACGAAAAACCCACGAACGTATTTGAACTCTTCATAGTTAGCTTTTGTCATGTTTTTGATTAAAAAGAGATGAGATGATAAACTCTATATTTTGCTAAGATGTAATGGACAGATTTCTTAAGAAAATTTATCACGTTAAGCCTGACAAAAATTTATGGGATAATTGGTTTTTGCTTCACGAGAATGCGCTTTGAAATAACTTTATTCTCTTCAAGCAGTTTCTAGACACAAAAAAGTGTCAACACTCTCAGTCACCCTCCTTGCTCACCAGATCTAGCATTCGCAGAGTACTTTCTATATTCTAAGGTGAAATCTCACCTCAGTGGTCATATTTTAATAAAACTGATGATATTCAGAAAATCGGAACCAGAGACTTGTATATTATTCCAAAATATGAGTTTCATAAAGGAATTAATCAGCTACAAATGAATTTGCCAAGCGATAAATAAAACTACAAAGCTAGAAATAGAATATTCTTATCTTCCACGAACCAGCATGGGGCCATTTAGTAAAGGCATAAGCTACTTTCAAATTTAATCTAGAAGGTTAAGGAGTAATAAAGCAATCTAAAAGCAATAAACACAACTTTCAAGAATATTTTTTTCTTTTAAACGTAACCAATTTGAGTAAATATGTATTAAAAAGTCATAAAATGTTTAAATAAAAATATTCAATATTCTTATGAAATTACATTAGCTGAACTCATTAAAATCATAAACCTTCATATCATGCTTTTTTTAATATGATAACTATTTTAGGTGGCTAATTTTTAAAGGAATAACATATAAAATATAAAAACATGTATAGCAAATTCTAACACTGAATTGGGAATTCTTAAGATATGCTGTTTTCAAATATTTTTGGATTTTACTGTTGAATTTATGTGGCGTAAGAGCGAAGAACGTGATATTTAATAAATGAAGTTAACACATAAGAAGCTAATAATAAAAAGACAAAAAAAAAAAAAAAATATGTTATCCGTCTTACTAAGAAAACTGAATTTTGATATGATGAACTGAGAAAAGACTGCAAAAAATATAAAAATATATGCCAACACTAATACTCCATCAGGAATTCTAAAAACGAAGCTTTTAAAAATTTTGTGATTTTGCTGTTGAACTGTATGGGGGGGTGGGAACCTAGAACCTCTCAGATTTTATTGCTACTTTTTTCAATAAGGCCGTTCACTAAATTCATTGAAAGATATACTGCAAAATAAACCTTTTTTAAAATCCAAACTAGAAATTAAATTGCTCAGCAGTTTTACAAAATTTCTTCAGTAAGCAAAAGAGCTATATTCTGAATAACAATAATCCTCCTGTGCTATATATATTAGCACTAATAGACTATTTTGATGACAAATGATACTTTTAGAAAATTTGAAAAAGTAATAACTGATAGAAAAATGGTACCTTTTCATGGGCAAAATAATTTATCAAAATTTTGTCTATTTAAATAGAAATCTTGATCCTGTATAATGGTGTTAATTATTTTACCTTGACTTTAAATACTTATAAATGCTAAAGTTTGGTTAAAAAATATATTATGGTATTCATTTAGTTACATACCAGTTATTAATATAATACTTATAATATAACAAATCTTTTTTTTCAGTCCAAAGGGGCTTTGTCCCTGAAGGACTATTGTTTTCGTTTTGCGATTTTGCGTTGGTTCACTATAAAAGTTCCACATTTCAGACTGTTGCCACCAAATTTTAGAGTCCTGCATTATATTTGAAGAAATTAAATAATGAAAAATTGAAGAAATTAAATAATGAAAAAAAATATTTTCTACAATTTTCTTACATTTTTCATATTTATATGTTTTAAACTTAAAATAATCTTTGATGCTATAAATGTAGGTGCATTTCTCGCACTGTGATAAGACAACGGTACCTAGAGCCATCGAATTTTGAATGACGTAAACCTCCTACGAATATGGGCATGTGGAAGACGAAATTTGAAATTTGTTTCATTATCGATTTCATATTTGTAAAACTTTAACGAATTTTTGAGTAACAAACTCAACGATTGAAAAGCGAGCAATGGCAACACTCTGCAGGGGGGGGGGACCTTTTTATCTATCTCACGCGCGTCGAACTGTGTATCGTAAATTCTAAAGATATGCTCATTTTTTAATTATTTTGCGACATTGCTATTTGAACTGAATTTCATGGTTTAAGTGCAAAGAACATGATATTTAATAAATAAAGATAATACACAAACGTTAAAAAACGCCCCTTTGGACGTAATTTAATTTTTTTAATTTCTTATTTATTTGTTTATTTATTTTCGGTATGCTAAAAGACGTTTTCCGTTTCGTTAAAATTTCTTCTGTGAAAATGAATGTTGCTGCTAAATTAACAGTGAATAAGATCTTTTATTTTAATTTGTTGTTATGAAAGTTGTTTTGTGGGACACAAAATTAAATTAATGATTAAAATAGAACTTTATTTGAATTTCTTTTACAACATTTTTTAAAGAACTCTCATTTTATATTACAAAAGTGACCCAAATAAAGTAAACTTGTAATATTCCTTTAGAAATCGATTGCAGAATTTTGAAGTATACTTTTTCGTATAAATAATCGTCTGCTAAAAATAAAATCTAATGGATATACATAAAGTTTTGCAATCTCTTTATGGATTTATTTTTATTAATATTCGAACACTAATGTAATTTTTTTAACATTTCGGTATTTTATGGCATCTTATGTTCTAAAAAGAGATGCAGAAACAAACGTCGGAGCTTTAAAAATTGAAATTCTTTAGAAATTGAATATTAATTGTTGTACAGCAGAAAAGATTAGAATTATCAGTTGCCTACAATAGACGTTATTTTTATTTAAGAAAAAAAAATATTTTCTACAATTTTCTTATATTTTTCATATTTATATGTTTTAAACTTAAAATAATCTTTGATGCTATAGACTGCAATTTTAAGTTTTGTGGAAACATCCTTCCCCCTAACTTGCTAGTTTAAAATGGCACATGTGAATTTCTTAGTGTAAATATTCCTAGGTCACGAAACACCACTATTTAACTTATGATCACCTGCAAATTTCTCCTCCTTTATAGTCCAAATTGACAATTTGCTCTGGAAGGAGTATTAATTTCGTTTTCGCATTTTGAGTCGAAAACTTTAAAAGGCGGTATCACTTTTCAAATCGTTGCCACCATATATTATCGCCCTGTCTTATATTTAAGAAATTAAATAATGAAGAATCTTCATGAATGTATGCATGTTTCTCACATTGTGAAAAAACAACGGTACCTAGAGCCATCAGATTTTGAAAACGTAGTCCTCCACCCGAATATTAGTACTTGGAAGAACGAATTTTAAATTTTAATTTGTTTTAGTATCGATTTCAGATTTTGTAACACTTCAACGAATTTTTGTTTAAAATAAACGATTTTAAAACGAGCAATGGCAGCACTGTACGGAAAAAAAAAACATTTTTATCCTCAGCGCGCAAGACTCTATATCGGAAATTCTAAACATATGCTCATTTTAAAGTTAATGTGCAATATTGCTGTTGAACTGAATTTTACAGTTTGAATATGTAGAACATGATATTGTAACACACAAAACATTAAAAAAAAGCCCCTTTGGAAGTAATTTAAAATCTGAACCTTTCAGTTTTTTTTTTTTTTTTCCTTAAAGCCCAAAGGGCAATTAGTCTCAAAATCACATTTTGCGTCGTTCACTTTCTACGTTGATTCACTTTTCAAATTGTTGCCACCAAATATTATCGATATGTATTACATTTAAAGAAACTAAATAAGGATGAATCTGGGTGAATGTTTTTCGCATTGTGGAAACAAAGATGCCACCAAGTTTTGACTAACATAGTTCTCTATCCGAACATGGGCACTTGGAAGCCAATTTTGAATTTCGAATTATTTTCACTAACGATTAATAAAATTATTGCCCTACTGATGTCCAAGGATTCGATTTTAAAAGGCACCACAATTAAGTCTACAACTTTTCCCTACTTTCCCGGGTGATACACAGAAACAATATACATTAACAATTCAGATATAATGCGAGCAAAAAGAAAGTACTTGAAAAGTGTTTTTCAAAAAACTCCTATTTTTCATTAATATAGAACATCTGGAAAGGAAAGTCACAAAATAAATTTCTAAAAATATAACAATAGAGAATTTCTATTTGTATCTCTCATTGTTTAGCAGATGTGCTATATTTCCTCTCGAGGAATTGGGCGATGTATTTTATTTATGGGTGACAAGAGGTCTTGCACCTATGACTCGAGGTCAGTAGGTGACCCACGTTCAGGTCATCATTTTTCCGGCACCAAGCCGCCTAGTCGTGTAGGCAGTAAGCCACGCGCAAATCACGATTCTTCACATTTTGTAGCAGGTGATTAGCATAGAAAAAAGGATCGGATTACTGGTTAAAGAGGGTTATAGGAGTGGTGTGGAAAATGAGGTTCCGAACTTTAAGAACAAGATTAGGAGATACAATCGTGTCATTAATTCCAAGTAACTCTAATGAATTACAAACTAACTTCAACTACAGGAAATTGCACGAGCGCGAAATGAAAAGTGGGGCATTATTTAAGCTAAAATCTTACATCATTTTGCATAGTTAACTTTCAGTTGCATGTTAAATGCATTATTATAGTTAAACTGTAACCATAATTACGAATATATTAAAGACCAATTCTCCAGCCAAATAATATAATGCTATTTTGAAAATAATAACAGTTTTTTGATGGCATTACTTGAAGATACTGAAATTCAAGCACTCCGCAACTGGTGTTAAACTGAACAGGTTTGTTTGCATTTCAGATTTTTGTATATTTAGTTGAATATTTGGACAACAAACATATCATTTTTTTTCTCGGCTTCAGACAAATTGCCTTGTATGAATTCGTCGTTTCTGTGAAATTCCATTTTTCATGATGACATTTTAAAATATTATTGGTTTTTTGATTTAGTTGTAAGCATAAATGTTGTTCAGTTAAAAAAAAAAATTATTCACTTGGAATTCATTCAGAAACGAATTCAAAAAAGTGGTTGATTTTGATTATGTTTTCTTTGCTCCTTGATGACAAATAATAAGCATATCAAAATAATCCTTTCTTTTTCTTTTTTAATAAAACCATTTCATTGTTAGTTCAAAGGGACTTTGTCCCTGAAAGACTATTGTTTCGTTTTGCGGTTTTGCGTTGAATCACTATAAACGGCGAATCATTTTTCAAACTGTTGCCACCAAATGTTAGAGTCCGCTTATATTTGAAGAAATTAATGATGAAAATCTGCTAAATGTATGTATTTCTCGCATTGTGATAAAAGCGGGACCTAGCCATCGAATTTTGATGAATCCTCCTACAATATGGGCGGAAGACCAAATTTGAAATTTGGAATTTGTTTTATGTTAACTTAACATTTTTTTATTAACAAACACGATTCAAGCGAGCAATGGCAGGTAAAAAAAAAAAACAAAAAAAAAAAAAAAAAAAAAAAAAAAAAAAAAAAAAAAAAAAAAAAATCTCCTGCGCGCGGCGCATTCGAATTCTAAGATATGCTCAGTTAAAATTATTTTCGACATTGAATCTTTTATGGTTAGTGAAAGAAATGATATTTAATAAATAAAGGTAACACACAAAACGTTAAAAAAAAGTCCTTTTGGACGTAATTTAAAAAACCTTTCTTTAAGGACTATCTTAGGGAAAAATACTTGTATATACAATAATGATGGGGAAAGCCACGGAATCGCCTATATAGCCAGTCTTTTTTTTCTATGGGATTCAAATCCAGACCGAGCAACCAGTGTTCAGTGACTTTACCGCTCTACCGCTGTCTGTTCATCCCATTTTATGTTTAAATGAGGGTTTCCTGCTTTTATTTTTCCAACTAAAGCTTCTTTTAGTAGCTTTTCACAAGGTAGGAAACTGGTATATACAGCTTTGCTATAATTATCTCTTCATACAAAATATTTACTCATACATGCATGTACTAAATTTTTAGACTGATCTAACAGAAAGTGTAAAAATATTTAAGACTTACCACAAACCTTAGTTAGTCTTCGATGTATTTCCCTTCTAAGTCCACACATTTAATGACACGGATATACAACTGCTGGAGGCCCCTGTGGAAATCTTCTTCTGGGATTGTGTTTAGGTGTCTCATTCATGTCATTTTGGTGTTTAGGTATCTTCTGAAGTCCCTAAAATACGTTTGCCTTTCAAATGAGACTTTAGTACTAGGAACGAGGTTTAGTCGGCTAGTGCAATATATATATATATGTAATAATAAAATTCCATAGTCAAGAATACACTTAAAATTCTAACTGTTGTTTCTTTTCATTTTTAATTGCGACTTTCTCTTATTTGAAAGTACGTGGAATTAATCCACACCCCGTAGTCAAGTTGTTTTTCCGCCTTTCTACACGTACAGTTATAGAATGTTCTGGAAATATTTAAAGCGAACTGGATTGGCTGACGAGGTTGACATCATTTCTTGGAAGCTCCGCCTTTCCAGAGGCTATAAAAGGACTCGCAAAAGAATATCGGGGGCTTTTTCTTAAATATCACGATGCAGTAAACTTCATATAAAACGTTATTAGTAATTCTTTTTATTTACTCCGGATATCTGATTTTATAACTGCTATTTCTCCTGAATAATAATAAATGGATCCTGTTTTTTTTAAAAACTTATCGTCTGATAATTTAAGCTACGACTAAAGCTGTTACATCATATATATATATAATTTAAATTATTATGATATAATTTTGGAGTAATAGGAGAGTGAGATAGCTGGTAATTCTAGCAGAAATAAAGTGTGCGCTGAGTTCCAATAGAGACCTAAAAATGCCATCTGAAAAAGCTGCTGAGAAAGCGGAAACGAGCCGGCTTTAACCTGGGTCTAGAGATGCATGTATGCTTCTATAAATTAAGGGGTGTAGCTTTACTAACTCGAAACGTTTTAAGGATAGATGCTATGTGTGCGTATCATGAGAAAGTTTTACTGAGGATCATCTCAAGATAAAGGACTTGCTTGGCCCATCCGATGTCTTTTCCATAGAGTTGCAGGTTTTTATTAAATTTGTTCTTGGTAAATAGGATTGCTTGAGTCTTATCTACATTAACTTTGAACTTCCATTTTGTCAGCCAAGTCTCGAGTATGTTTATGTAGTCTTGTAATCGTTGAATTGCTGGGCTAATAAATGCAGTTTGTGAGACGATCGCAGTGTCGTCTGCATACATTGCGAGTGTTGTGTTCTGTGTGGTGAGAATGCCGTTCACGTAAATATTGAATGAAGTGGTCCAAGCAGACTCCCCTGGGAGACCTCAACAAGGATTGCCCTACGTATCGATAGTATATATGATACGAGAACGACAAAGTGTCTACCGGTTAGGTAAGATTTAACTATGTTTGTGATGTAACCCGGGAAGCCCAATTTGTGTAGTTTGTATATGAATGCGTCTAGCCATGCACGGTCGAAGGCCTTTGTTATATCCAAAAACAGACCTCCTGCAACTTTTTTATTCTGCAGCCCTTCGCTTATCAGTTCCACAACCCCATATAGTTGGTTGACCGTAGAATGCTTACTTCGGAATCCAGATTGGTGAGGAATGATTATACTATTTTGTTCCAGATGTTGGTTGATCCTGTTGAGTAGTACCACCTCCATAATTTTGCTAAGTGAGGACAACAGGTCGGACGGTAAGATTCTGGTGAACTTGCCGGCTTCTTGAGTTTCAGAATCGGTGTGATTTGAGCCAACTTCCAACTTGATATGTGATGCAATTTTATTAATTCATCGCTTTCTTCTTCATCTCTTAGTAGGCTTTCTCTATAGAAATGTAATTTTTCTATCACTTCTTTCGTAAGAAATGTAATTCTCTTTCAAAAATAAAATATATACTTCATAAATCCTTATATTTAAATGTTTGCACATTTTAATTAATAAGGATATCATCCGCCCAACCGGTGTAGTGGTTAGCGTCGCTGACTGACGTGCTTAAGGGCCCGAGTTCGAATCCCCGAAAAGGTATGAATGTTTGTAAATATATAGTGTCCGTACGGCATGGGGCACTCCAAATATGCGGCGAGCAGAATTTCCTCTCGAGAGGTTGGTGTTAGGGGAAAAGAGGTGGGAAACCCTCGGACCCGTCCCTTTCCCGTGGTGCTGTCCATCAAAATTGGGGGTGGAACTGAGCTAAATCGCACCTTCACCTGTATAGTGCTCAAAGATGTTGCCAACGACAGGCGTAAACTTGCGCTCCTTGCTATGAGGAATTTCGTGGGTTTGGGCAGACTAGAAGTCAGACAAGTGAGCATTAGCAACAACAACATAATTTTATCAATTAAGCATTTATCTCAGTTCAGAGTATTTATTGGTTTCTCGGTTTTATTTTCTAACTAATGATGTACCGCTGTAAATTAATTTTACAGAATGAATACTTTTTCCCAGAGTGGGCTATTTCTTTTCAAAACCGCTATCTGCTTTTTGAATGGATCTGAATGCGTATTTCATATTTTGATATTCCTTTCATTGGCTTTACAGCAACAAGGTACGTAAATTAAAGTTTTATGATGTTCTTAGTCATTGCGTTGCGTTTTGTGATTAAATTATTTTAATGTGATTAAATTAAATTTGTGATTGCGTTGCATTTAAATTTTATAGTTATTGGTATTTAATTGAAACTAGTTCAACATCGTTCATCAGGAAATTGTCCAACCTGGTGATGAAAAATCAGGAAAAATTCAGTTGAATTTTAGCGGTAAACCTGCATTCTTCTTTAGAATAACTTTTAAAGTAAGCCCGATATTTCAAATCTGTAAAAGGTTTAAATTTTCTCAATTGCTTTTAAAATGATACATTATTCATTAAATTTTTTATTCATCATTTTTTACGCAGCCAGTTTCTTTAACGTTGTTTTGTGTTTTAAAAAAGATGTTTAATGCATTTCAACATTTTTGTTTAGATAAATCAGTATTAAAATTCTTTTTCTATTTTTTCAGAGGAATTAAGGTACTGTTTTTATTATCCATGATTGATTTCACTCCTTAGAAAGAATAAAAGTAAAACGCTTCATAATGTGCTGGTAGATAATTATTTACGTAGCTCATGTTGCTGCTTTCTGTGTAGTTGATATCTAACTGCTGTCAAAGTGCCAGGTTCTGAAATGAAAAATATTCGCGCAATTTTTCACTTCCTCAATGCTTTCAAAACGAGAACGAGCTCCCCTAAATTTCAACATGCCTTGTTCATGTAGTGGTTGTTTCCATCTAACTAACAAAGACAAACCTTCGCAAAATACTCGCGAATGTCAAGCCGAACCTTTCCCTTCTAACTGTTGAATTTTATACCAGAATACAAGGACTGATCAATCGCAGCGAAGCAAATATACCAACTGATGTTCAGTTTATCACTTCGCTGAGTCAGCTGCACATTCATTTTCTTTAATTATTTACGGATGATTTGAGGCCTAAGGAATAGCACAGACAACAATAAGAACAGCAAGATTCAAGTTGCAAGGAAGTAGAAATGAAGACATCTTATTATACAGTGTAATGTTAATATTACTATGTATTCTTATTGGAATATAGGTTTCTTTTAAAGAAATAATATTGTAGCAATACCATATAGTAATGTATCCATCATTACTTTTCATTGCTATGTTCTTACTGTAACTGCGTCTTTCGGAAATAAAATTATTTGCATAATTTTCCCCCTCTCGATTTAAAGGGGCTGAATACACGAGGAAATACCATAAATCAAATTTAACGACTAATCTATGCTCAGATATTGACTTGATAAT